TATCGGTTTGAAGATTAGAAAGGGTAGTTTATGAAAAAAAAGAAATTATGATGTCACCTAAGAAAAGGTAAACTATAGATGCATTTATAACCACTGTAAAAAAAATTAGTTGTCGCTTCTATATAATCTTTTTTTCTTTTCTATTTTTCATTCATTATTCCCTCTGATTTTCTTTCTAATATTCACCTTGCTTTTATTTTGTTAAAATTTCTTTGAGCATGTTATTGGATAGTTGAGTGTCCAAATGACAAAGAATATGCAAGCTCCTTCTGGATCCAATTGTTCTCTGCTTACAGTGCATCTTTTCTCAACCTTGCTTCTCACTTGTTCCCCTCCCTCTACTTTTGTTTTCTGTTCATTTTGCTTTATTTTTAACTTATTAAGAGTTGGCTTGCTATAGTGTCTGAATCCTGAACTGCAGCCAGCTTTAACTGTAGTTTGAAAAAAGGCCAAGCACACCACATTTTTCTGATTTTGAAGGTTTCACATTTTTTGATAGAATTGCATTTACAGTGGGCATAGGATCCAGCCCTTCTGCATATTGACATCTACCAATCTTACTTTTGTTTTCACAGTTTCATTTATGAACAGAACCCTAAGCTGCACTAAATGCTTCAATGGAGACTTCAAATTGGTAACAGCAATGCCTGAAGTCCATGGTTAAATATTAATAGCTATCTAATAGAGCTGTTTCCAGTCTTGGAAAGAATTGCATCATGAAGTGTACTAGCCGAAAGAAGAACCTTGCTTGAAAGCAATTACATACTTTGCAAGGCTTATGCAGCTGCATTGAAGGTTGCCTTTGATTGTCTGTTTATGTGCATGCATAAACCATGCTTCCTACTGGGATTACCAGCAAAGCAAAGAAACTGTTCCTGCATTTACATATAGAGACTTTCCAAAGCACCCTTCAAGTGTCCTAAAGACATGACTGTTTTAATGCTTCAAAGAGAGCTCCTTCATTTGATCTTCCGCATGACCAAAGTACCACTTTTGCATTCTTTGCACAGTCCTGGTTCTGCAAATAGTTTTGATATTCTGTGTTCATGCAACATCTGCTCTGCCTTCTACACATATCTTCAAATAAAATCTATTCATGGCTATAATTTGCTAGAACACCAGCCTCTACCAGACTGATCTTTTATAGTACATTTGCTAATCTTAAAAAATAATCCAGCCAAGACAAAGTTGAGACAGAGGAAAGGGTGAAGTCAGACTTCTTTCCCCAACCAGCTCAATTTTGTGGAAAATTGGCTCAAACTCTATAGAATCCAATCAATTGCATTGCAAGTTTTTTTTAAAGGCAACAGCATTCCACATACAGATTTGTGAAACCATTTGGAAGTTATCCAAGAAACTGCCAGACAAAGTTCTCCAACAATTGTAAAGCACCTAAGTACTTTGCCATTTGATCCATTTCAACTGGCTATAACAACTATAGATTCTTTAGTTATATAGCCAAGAGAGAGCTTGATCTTTTGAGAGAAGGAAACTCAAAAGACATTTCTATAAAGTATCAGTTTGGCTTACAGAAGTTAAAAAGAAGAAAACAATTACAGTAGACCAGGTGTCCCCTCTTTTGTTAAATCAAGAGCAAAATTATGCAATTTGGAAGCTAAACACCTCAATTGTTTTTACACAGTCCACAAATATTGGCCCCTTTGAAGCATGTTTAATCCCAGGTTTAGTTATTTATTCTTCTTTACAAATGCTTCACTCTTTAGCCAACTGCAGACAAGGAGGTATACAACTTAAAAGTACAGAGAATATATACAAAGGAACAGTATTTGCTAATCAATATCCCCCCATACATTAATATTACAGAAGAAAACACTAATAGTACCAGAATTCCAGTTTAAAAGCCAAAAATAATCTTTCTTAAGCTGCACCTCACTTCCACACATGTCTAGTGTAGCTAGACAGAGGTGGGATTTAAAATGGGACAAAGGGGGTCAAAGGGAAAGACAGATTGGTTATGCAGGTTGCATGTGAAAGAGATTACAAATACCTTTTCAGTTAACAATTGCAATGTTAAACCCATTGTTATTAAAAAAGTGCTATCACATCGATCTGATTTTTGCTACCATAGACTAAGAGAAGATACAAAGACTAACACCCTGGCCTAGTCACTGTCAACTACTGTATACTCCCAACAGTTACACCATTAGATCCCTTAATCTGATCTGATCTGATCTTTGGAAGTGTGTCTTTCTTGCTAAGATAACTGGAACTCCACTGGAAGGAGCTCCATCAGATCTGTCAAGGAGATCTACTATCATCAAGCCAGATCCTGCTATCATCCAGCCAACTGAAAGAACCCTGCCCTTCTGTCTGGGCACCAGGTGATTACAGAAGTTGGTTGCTGGGTGGGGAAGGGGTAAGTAAAGAAGAATCAAAAGGATAATTGAGTAGAAGGTGAATCTAGGAAGACAGAACCTGCAAGGCCAATAAAAAAGTCTGCTTATTAGCAGATTTATAAGTGAAATTAGCTGTATTAATAATGTAAGCAGCTTTATTTACAACCATTCAGATTTGTGTACAAATAAGCAGCTACAGAAATGGAAATAAATGTCTTTTTTGTAAAAAAAAAAAATCTCCTCAATTATGTACACTGCTGAAGAGTAATGTATATAATATGTATCTGAAAGGAAGACCACCTTACATTTACGAAGCCCCCGGAAGAGTAAGATAAAAAACATATGGAAAGCTAAACTTCTCCATCTTATCAACTTAGTGTTGCCTATTCTAGTCAGAGATTTTCTCCTGCCTTCTATGAGAAGTGTCTTTGTATATGTATGTAGGTGCATATAGGTAGATGTGCCAGAAACAACACACCAAAAACAACAGGACCAAGGCAAAATATTACTACTAGTAGTAAAATTAAAAAAAAACCTAGTGATTTACTTTAACTCTATAAAATAATGTACTCTATATCTTTTTCATACCCATCAACCTATATCAACCATTCTCTTATCATTTTTATGTTTTATATTTTGCGGGTTTTATCTTGTTGTAAGTCACCTAGAGTTAATTGATGGCAAGATGGGCAATATATAAGTTTAATAAATGAATAAATCCCTTCATTTTATGGGACTGTTGTCTTTTAATGTTGACCCATTTCTAGTTTCTGCATCACAATATATAAGTAGTTTCTGTATTACGCAAACCCCAGTTTATATAAACTCAAATTTACACAAAGGGTGCAAAAATGTGACTGCCAATTTGATATATGGAAGAATGTGCAAGGATTTCTGCATCAGAATTCTTATGTAACCCGGGACAGCCTGTATTTGATACTAAGAAACACTGGATAAGGGTTGGTAAAATCAGCAAGTCCTAGCACAGCCTAAACTGAAATATTAAGCAATAACAGTTTTACAAGAAGAAAATGAATCATTTGATAATATTATTGTAAACAATATTGGAGTCAACATAGCAGATCACTTTGTTCTTGACTAAAGAACATTAGAATTTGCTCAACATATTCCAGTTACTACAACTTGATTCAGAGAAGTAGTCTTCCAAATTACAAATTACTATTTCCAAATTACTCATTTGATTTTTTTCCTAATTTTCAGTTGTGTATTTTGCACAATTATGCAACTTTATTTTATTTGTGTGATCTACAGACACAAGTGGCATTCAGCCATGCAAGACTGAGCAATAAGAGGTCTGATCATCTTAGAGTTGGTGGAGCAATTTGTCTGGAATAATGTCTAGAGGAAAGGAATTAAGCACTAGCTTGAAAATGGAGCTCTTCCTCTGGCCAATGTAAAGTGCTCTTTTCCCTAATCCTCCTACACTTCCAAAATCTCACTAAGAAAACTGCAGGGACTTGTCCAGGAAATTGCCTGGAGTCAACAATAACTTGAAGGTATATGTGTGCGCGCACACGCAGGGCCTTAATTTCCCTTACAATGAAAAATTCCAGCATTTGTCTCCTCCTCTCCATGGTTCTGCTATTTTCATTTTGTCTACTAAGTGTTCTGTACTTGTTACGAACAAGTCAAGGATAGCTGATTTTGTGTGCCTTCTTTACTATCTGAAGAAAATTTGCAAGCCAGGTCATGTAATTTCTTAAAAGGACCATGCTTGGCGGAATTTTCTCCTAATGTATCTTGGAATAATTCCTAGCTCCAATCATAACCGTTTTATATCATTTAAAAAGATCTGCTATTTGCTTTTTTTAAAAAAATTATCTACATGTTCCTTTGGCTAGGTGATTGGCAGTGGACAGTTTCCAGCAAATGTTTCACTTTCTAAATTATATAATAAGAATATATTTTAAAAACAAATTCAGTACTGCTATTGGGCTTTATATATATCTAAAGATTATTATGATAATAATTTCTCCTGTCTATAACAAAGACCTGCTTCTTCTGCTGCATGTTTGATGAACTTAAGACATCCTCACTTTTAGTTTCAAAGGGAGACTATGAGTAATTCTCGACTTATGACACAATTGAGCCAAAAATATCTGTTGCTAAGCAAGACAGTTGTTAAGTTTGTCTCATTTTATTACTCTTCTTGCCATAGTTGTTAAATGACTCATTGCAGTTGTTAAATTAGTAACCTGGGCGTTAAATGAATCTGGCTTCCCCATTGACTGGCTTGTCAGAAAGTTGGAAGAGGTGATCACATGAATCTGGGACACTGCAATTGTCATAAATATATGCCAGTTGCCAAGCGCCCAAATTTTGATCACGTGACCATGGGACTGCTGCAACTGTTGTACATGTGAAAACGGTCATAAGTCACTTCTTTTTTTACTGTCAGTGTAACTTCAAACAGTCCCTATATGAATAGTTATAAGTCGAGGACTACCTGAGTATTTTCCTTATTATAACTACTATTATGCAAACACCCACTAATGATTATATAATTATTAAATATACCACTTGCATAAAATCATGCTATAATGTTCCCACAACCACCACTTAATTTTCTTTTGCATCCAGGAAAGAGCAAACACAATTTTACACACAGAAATAGTGCAATACCTGCTGTAGCCTTCCTTGGAGAATCAGATAGGCTTGACATCCAGACTTCAGAGCCAAGAAAAGAAGCAGCAGAGAAACAAGAAAAGCAAAAGAGGGATTAGAGAGAGAGAGAGAAGCAGTGTTGTAACCATGCAAATACAGAATAGTTTTAATTCTACATTTGTTTGAATATACAGAGGAATTGTCGCCATTAAACTCTAAGCAATGAAACAATAAAATATGTTGCAAAAGGAGAACATCAGCTGATACAAAGGTGTTCCCATGGTAGTTTCGCAAACAACAGATGTGTTTACTTTGTATAAGCATTACATGTTTCTCTTAGTCAGAAGGTTTGTTTTACAACAATGAAATCATTCACATTTGTGGCAATACCTTGAAACCATCCAGACTGCCATTTTTGAGTAAAGCCTCATTTGAGTGTTTTACCACAAGGCCAGACATTTTCTCTGTTTTACAAGTACAGACACTAATTCATGAGTTTAGTGAATCATTTCAACCCACTTCATCCCGAACTAATGCTAGAGCTGTCAGGTTATACAGCAGTTCTCAAATTATTGAGCTGACTAGAAAGAATAGGATGTTTTTAAACCATATTTTGAGGTATTGGAAATTTAAAGATTTTTATTTCTTAACAAAACTACCGATAAAGGTCTCCCAGAGTTACCTGACGATGAGATGGGTAGCATAGTCTCTCAGAACCATAGTCTAAAAAAATTCATTTTCTGCAGCTTTATCAATAAAACCTGTGACCATCTAAAGCTGTATACATTGATATTCATCAATTTATTGATGAAATCTTGCTATTATAGATACAATGCTGAAAAATCTATATAGCTGTAAGTACACAATTTATAATGTACATATGGTCCACAAGGAGATCTTGATGTGGCTCTGAAAGTACCCCATCAAATCACTCTCTGTCTTGTCTCCATACCAGCTTTTGGGGTGGGGGAAGAGCAGTACAAATAGGAAAGTAGTAATGCAACTTTTAACTATTATATTAGCACATACTGTTTTAAAATTGAGCTGTGAAGGAATCATATATAACTTCTATAGACATTTACGGAGACATCATAGCATAAATCACTTGATTCAAAACTTAATGCCACACATGGCCTTTCTGCAAGTGCAAAGGGGAAGTTATCACTTGAAAACTGCTTTGCATTCCTGGTAGGATTTTTAGTAAAAAAATAAAAATAAAATAGAACTCCAGTGAGAAGGATTCCCTTTCAGTGCTTCATATCAATTGGAATAAAAATATTATAATGCTGTTTTTTAGAACTTCCCCTTTCCAGCTACCTTATTCAACCTTATTCAAAGACTGAATATTTCCCCAAGTACATGTTTTTAAAAAAAACTTTGAACTTCTGTGATTAAGAATTATAGAGCTGAAATCTTCTCTCTAGATAGTGATGGCAAACTTATGACATATGGATCAAAGGTCATAGGCCACATTTTTGATGACACGCTAGTGTTCACAAACACTCGACAACACCTATTCTCAAAAGAATGATACATTCTTGTGTAAGAAAGGGATGTGCTTTTGTGCAGCCTCTGGACCGTTTGGAAGTCACATGAGAGAGCTGGGTTTTCTTGAAGCCTTCTGAGCCTCCAAAAATTGCATTAGGTTTTTAGAAGCTGCAGAAGCTGCAAAAAAGCACTCTCCGAAGCCACTTCAAGAATGAAGGCCTCATCAATCCTAGAGTAGCCTCAAGTAGGCCATAAGGGTCTGCCAACAGAAAAAGAGCACTGTCTGAAGGTAAGTGGCAGGTGGCAGATCCTGGAGAGCATTGGGCTGTGGGGCCAATTGCATCATTCCTCATGGTTCACACCTTGGGGAATAGCAGGAGGTGGTCTTTTTGGGTCGCAGAAATGGTGCTAGGGCTGCAGTGAGCCCACAATTGTTCAGAGTGACCTAGATGCAGGGTGGTGGCTGATGTTTTGTCTGGGGGGGGGGGAATGGCAGCATTTTCTGAATGCAATCACTAATACAGAAGAACATATTATTTTTGTCCAAGAATGATACTTGGTCTTTGAGTGTATTTGAGCGACATTTCCCAAATTGTAAAAGACCAGGACAAGACTAAATCTAAATTAATTTATAATTTACTGAAGCTGAAATACAATTAAATACAATTATATGATTACTTTCTATGTGTTAGATCATTTTCCCCTTCTGTCTCCTTAAACATTAAAATTTGACAGAAAGTTTTGGAAGGTTCTGAGAGCCATACTGAAAGCTTGAGAGCTGCATATCATCTTATGTTCACAGGTTGCAACCATTTTTGTTATAAAAGGTGTTCTTGGTTGAATTTGCACTCCATGAATAAACCATAACCTAAAACAATCTAATCAGGGGGTTCATCATTCTCTTTGATCTTGGCCTAAGTAGGACTTCTACAACCATGTCTTAGCAGACATTTCAGAAATTGCCTGTCTGTCTAAATTGCCCATCTCCTTCATAGAGGAGCTATTATAAGGTAAAATACTGCACTTTTTCTTGAAAATTACTGGTTTGCTCACAAAATCCAGTGTCTTGGTTAAAAGACAAATTCCTGAATAGACATCTATTCCACCTGGAACGCTTTTATGATGCTCTTATATGTACAAAGGTTGACTTGGAAGGAGTTCATGAACAGCAGTTAAAACACTAAACCCAACACTGCATATTGTGTCATGCTTTTTTGATTTGTCTAGATAAAAAGAAACTAAGGTGACAATATAATGAAATAAAGCCACAAAATAATTCCAAGCAGGGGGGAAAAAATTCAGCACTCCCAACTACCCCTAACAGAGTTTGTACTATCCCTGCCAAAACAATAATGAAAAAACCCAAAAACTTGCACTGATGAAAAATATCTGGAATAAGAAAATGCCTAAGGCTTAGGTTATATTGGAACCATATGCTCTTGCAGTGGCACAACAGTAGATTTTAAAATAGTATGCAACTGACCTACTTCAGGACGAGAATTTAGAGAAAAAGAAAAGGAAACTTTTAACCTTGAACTGTATTTTGCAAAAACAGCTGAAGTGTAAACAAGTTTTTCACACAATTGCCATTTAATCAGATTGCCCTGAATGGTAACTGGTTGCAAATTTTTAAATGAAGCATCTTTCTCCTTTTGCACATGCTCCATCAATAGTAACTGAAGCAAAACAATACAAACAGCTCCCAACACAAGAAATTAGGAACTGAGAAGTGAGTACCTGGCAGAGTACATTGTAAACTTCCAAAGAAGAGATACATTTGCCTCTGGTAAATTTAGTAGACTACCCCCCCCCCCATAACAAAAAATAGCATGACTCATCTGATAGCACTAGACAGAAATAAGAGTTAAGAAATAAGAGTGCTTCTGAAGAGGGAAGACAGCTAGTATATTTCAGCTTGGAACATCTGTTTAGCATTACTTCAAAGGATTTCATTTTTTAAAAAATAGCTTGACAATCATACATATTTTAATTGTCCTCAACCCGTAAAACAGAGATGGGCATCCTACATCTCTTCAGCTGCAGGCAGCACTCAGTCTTATTTCACTGGAATAGAAAGAACGCAGAAGGAGGAGTGGGGGAATAGTTTCAAACTTGCTAAAAATCATTTGTTCTTTTCTTAGCAGCCTGCTGGGCAGGGAAGGAAGGGAAGAGGGATATCCACATGGAAGGAAAGGAAGAGGGTAAAGGATGAAATATGTATTGCAACTGCAATAATATGATACAAATCCTGTGATCCATGCATTTGCAACAGAAGTACAAAAAAACTTTAGTTTGTGCTGTAATATCACAAAATGCTGAGTCACTTTCATGTCATTTATTTGATTTTTATTCTGCCTTTATTATTGCTTATATAAAATTAGCCTTCATAGTCAATAAAAGAGTAGGAAAAGCAATACTGGGATACAATCCCCAAAATGACAGAATGATCTCAGTGCGAATCCAAGGCAAACCATTCAATATCACAGTAGTCCAAGTCTATGCCCCAATCACTGGTGCTGAAGAGGATGAAATTGACCGGTTCTAAGAAGCCCTACAGCACCTTATAAAATCAACACCAAAAAATGATGTCCTTATCATCATGGGGGATTAGAATGCTAAAGTAGGAAGCCAAAAGATAAACGGAATAACAGGCAAGTTTGGCCTTGAGAGTACAAAATGAAGCAGGGCACAGGCTGACAGAATTTTGTCAAGAGAATATGATGGTCATAGCAAACACTCTTTTCCAACAACCCAAGAGACAGCTCTACACATGGACATCACCAGACGGTCAACACAGAAATCAGACTGACTATGTGCTCTGCAGCCAAAGATGGAGAAGCTCTATACAGTCAGTAAAAACAAGACCAGGAGCTGACTGCGATTCAGATCATGAGCTTCTCGTTGCAAAATTTAGGCTTAAATTGAAGAAAGTAGGGAAAAACACTAGGCCACTCAGGTATGAACTAAATCATATCCCTGATGAATATACAGTAGAGGTGACAAATAGATTTAAGGAATTAGACAGAGTGCCTGAAGAACTATGGACGGAGGTTCGCAACACTGTACAAGAGGTAGCAACTAAAATCATCCCAAAGAAAAAGAAATGCAAGAAAGCAAAATGGCTGTCTGAGGAAGCTTTGCAAATAGCTGAGGAAAGAAGGGAAGCGAAAGGCAAGGGAGAAAGAGAAAGATACACCCAATTGAATGCAGAATTCCAGAGAATAGCTAGAAGAGATAAGAATTCCCTCTTAAATGAACAGTGCAAAGAAATAGAAGAGAACAATAGAATAGGGAGAACCAGAGATCTCTTCAAGAAAATTGGAGATATGAAGGGAACGTTTCATGCAAAGATGGGCATGATAAAGGACCAAAATGGCAGGGACCTAACAGAGGCAGAAGAGATTAAGAAGAGGTGGCAAAATTACACAGAAGAACTATACAAGAACGAGCCTAGCATCCCTGATAACCACAATGGGGTGGTCACTGACCTCGAGCCAGACATCCTAGAATGTGAAGTTAAATGGGCCTTAGGAAAGCTGAGCAACAACAAAGCTAGTGGAGGTGACAGTATTCCA